GGGGGGGGGGGGGGGGGGGGGGGGGGGGAATTACCAAAAAAAACCCACAAATTTGAGAAAAGGGTATCAAGAACCTCAGTTTCTCTCCAAAAAAGGCATGACCAATTGATAGAAAAAAATCCTTATAATATTATCTTTTTCACCTTCACTACACAAATCAACCTAATCCAACCCCTAACACAAATATTATACGGCTGGAATGGATAAGCCAATTCAAATATTAAAAATAAAAAAAACAACAAAAGGTATATTTTCATTCACTTGAGTTGGTTGCATCCACAAAATGGAGGAGGAAAATAACAAAACAAAAGGATGCAATATGTTAAATACTTGGATTGATAGTGTCAACCGTAAATGCAGATGAAGCAAACCCAATATTGTATTCTAAATAGCAAAAGAGATAGATGCTCACTTTATCCACCACTGAGTGTTCCAGTTGACGCAAGTATTTTGGATTGACATGAATGCTATGAGTTGGCCGAGGAGACCCAGAAGCCCTTGAGGATGTCAAACCTGAGGACTCTTGTGTTGTTAGCTGAGAAAGTTGAGCTTCAATCTTCCGAAGGACGGATGGTGGAAATACATTTGACCATGTCCCAAAGAGGTGACGCATAGCATTGTGCTGATTAGGATGAACTTGCCTGTAAGCCTCAAAAAATACCTAAGTAACAAAAAAATAAGAACAGAGGATTGATGAGAACTCAATGAAACTCACACTAAAATCTGAAACATAAGAAACATAAATGTACCCCAGAAACCAAAATTTACATACCTCAGGTAAACGAGACGAGAAATAACTAACGTATCCGTGCCCAACATTCTTAACAATACTGTCCAATAGATACAATGAAGGAAGTTTTTGGTCAACCGGAACCTGCACGAAAATTTGAAATGATGAACTAGAACACCCGCGTGGTCTCGGGAAATATAAGCATCAAAGAGGACAAAAAGCCTAAATTATTATAGCCCAAATCCCCATCAAATCGATAATACAAAAAAGACGTAATAGACAAAAAGTCCATAGAAACTATTAGAACATACTTCCTTCATATACTACCAGAAATTGAAACGTTCAAAAGAGTCTTCTCAACTCAAATTAGAAGAAAACATAATTACAGAATCAAACCTCGAGAATACGCGTACAAATTAAGTCAGCAATGCCCTTCCCATGTTCTCTCTGCTCATCCGCAAGAACAGTGAGATCCGTAATGATGGGCTTGGAATTAAAGGTGAGCTCCGACAACATAAGCTCGTATAACTGCACGATAAACTCGGAGGAAGGAGGGGGCACAGAATCATGGCCAGAAACCCTGAATTCGTCATCCCGCTGCTTTAGCTGAGCTCGAAACCGGTGCGCAATTGAAGAGGGAGGCTTTTGTGACAACTCATTGGGCATAGCCCTACCGCTGGTGGTGGGGAGTTGGCGGTCGGATGAATATGCTGCAGCTCTAGGGTTTCCTCGTGAAATCAAGAGCTTTTCCAATTCCATGAAACGGTTCATGAATTGCAAAGTGTGTGGATTGAGTTCAGAAATTTATCCCGCCAAGGAGGGAAGAGAATCAAATTAGGGTTTCTTCCCACCATAGAAGAAGAAGAAGCTAGAGAGAGAAACCAAGAGAGAGAAGGAGTCACGGTGTATCTTAGTTTAATTCTTCGCCGGTGTAAAAGAAACTGTTTCCCACCATAATTTTGCTTTTATTAAGATAACTATTTTATTCCTTTTAAAACTAATTATTCAAAAATACATTTATTCTATAATCCATATTAGTTATTATTTAATTTGTTTTAAACAAATGTCTAAATTTAATTTTTATCTTTTTTTTTTTTAATTTTATAAATCTTAAAATATTTTTTTATTCTTATATTAAAGTCAATTTTCATTTAACTTTTATAGAATAAAAGTAATGATTTTTATTAAAGAAGATAAATATTTTATTAAAATTTATAGGAAGAATATTATCGGGATCCTTTTTAAATAAATTAGTAGAGAGAATATAGACTAACTTTAAAATAGAATATAGTTAACAAGACAGCAACTGTGTGGCACTTGTTCTAACCTGATAAATAAGTCAACCATATGGAAGTCAAACTTTGCAAACAACCGAGTCTTGGATCACGTTTGTGAGGAGTTGCATTGAAAACAATTTGAAAGAAATCAAGGTTGTAAGTTAAAAGCGAATAAACAACAACCATAACTTTTATAGCATATAACCCAAGAAGAATTGACAACTAGTCAGATCCCTTTATGGAACATTTTGGGGCATTTTAGCCGTGACTGGTATAAGTATAATTTTGATAACCGGTCATACACCCTGTATTCACACGACAAGAATAGTAAAAACCAAATAAAAATGTTCGGAGAAAAAGAACGGTAATAAAAAAAAAAAAAGTTAAAGTCAAACCATGAATCCTAACAAGGGAGTGAGAGCTAATGTGAATGAATCATGAGAACAAGCACAAAGAACGAGAAAATCAATGACCAAATGAAACTATAAAATACTCGAGCTAAACATGAACAGAGTAAAAGCTACGGCTAATCAAAAGAAAGAAGAGAAACTTGGGTTACGATCGGCCTTAGATGGGCCCGCGCCAAGCATTCCCTACATGTGGATTCTGTTCCCGCTCAATTTTGGTCCTAACCCTAAAAGAAATCGACAAAATCCTCAAGTTATAAATGTTATTGATCAAAAAGAAAAAACATCATAAGCCAATTCCACATCACGAGCATAGTTAGATAAGACACAACTTTCTTTTATGAATTCAAGAACCTGAAATGCAAGATGAGCCTAGGTAAAATCAGAACCTAGGTCGACTCGATTAACTTAAAGAACGGCTCAAGTCGTAGGCCCGACACAGATAGTCTAAAGGCAGGAGAGCATGTATAGAACCGATTCCTCGTTTGATCAAATCAATTCGTGCAATTCAAGAAAGACTCAGCCTAGCCTAGCAACTCTAGGTCAAATTCACGTACTAGATATACAAGCATCATACCGATGTGCATGTATTCTTCTTCCACAAATGAAAATACAACAAAAACAACATCCAAGATGGGCCTAGGTCAAATCAGAACCTAGGTTGACTCGACTGACTTAAAGAACGGCTCAAGTCCTAGGCCCGACACAGATAGTCTAAAGCCATGAGAGTATATACAGAACTAATTTCTCGTTTGATCAAATCGATTCGTCCAATTCAAGAGAGACTCAACCTAACAACTCGAGGTCAAATTCACGTACTAGATATACAAGCATCATACCAGTGTGCATTTATTCGTTCTTCCACAAATGAAAATACAGCAAAAACAACATCCTACTTGGATAGATATTCTTGAGTAATTTTTTACTCTTTTGAGTGTCATTCTCATACATATCAACTTGCTCACCAGCCATCATAACAGCCGCAGGACAACATTAAATGTTCATCATTTGGACATTATAAACAAGAAATTAAACAGTGGTCTGAAAGGACCCCAATTGGTTTCCCATGACATCAAACCAATAATGTGTCCTAGACTGCTCTGATTCGTTAACATCACCTCATTTTGGTGTGGTGGGGTACCGTAGGTTGCCATCAACAAGAAACTTAGCCCAGCTGAGCTATCACCACGCAGAAAGTCCATTCCAATCTCATTATTGTATGGGGCTCATAATACAAACTGTGGCTAATTTGTTATGTATTTCATTGGCCAAAAGCCTGTGGGGAGAGCTTTATTTCCAGTTATGGAGTTTTCTTTAGCTTTTTTAGCCATTCTTCTCCTGGTTTCGGTGTTCTTTTCGACTGTCACGGCGTCGAGTAGCCACGTTCCAATTGAAGAAACTACAAATTCAAAGCCTCTCCCAAACAATTTCCTTTTTGGAACTGCTTCTTCTGCATATCAGGTGACTGTTTTTCTTCTGTTCCTTTTCCTGTTCTTTGCTTGATTTTGAGCCATTTTGAGCCATTTCACTTCAGTTTGAAGGAGCTTTCTTGAGTGATGGTAAAGGTCTCAGCAACTGGGATGTTTTTACTCATAAGCCTGGTTAGATTGATCAAACTGCAAGATTCTGATGCTTCTTTTCCTCTGTTTTTCCTCAAAAAGTGACAGACTTTGAGCTTTTTTGCAGGCAATATTGAGGATGAAACTAATGGAGATATTGCTGTTGATCACTATCATCGCTATCTGGTTAGTCTATGAAACCATTCTCCTCAAGCTTCTTAAGCTCACTTATCATTATCCGTTGGCATTTTTATGGAAGATGAGCAAATAACAGGAGGATCTTGATCTTATGGCTTTTATTGGAGTCAACAGCTACCGCTTCTCTATTTCTTGGGCAAGAATACTACCGAGTAAGCTTTCATGTGTCTTTATGAGTGTTCGTTCTTCGAGTTTATTGTAATTATCAACTTGGTATCGTTCATTTGGATTGGAGTTGTTTCTTGTAGTTGGACTCTTTTTGTGGGTATCTTTCTTGTTTGTTTATGTGTATTCTTACATTTTTCTTGATGAACTTGTATCCTAGTCGGGATTGTTGGTAGAAGAGTCCTACATCAGCTAATTAAGGGGTTGATCATGGGATTTATAAGTAAGGAATACATTTTTATTGGTATGAGTCCTTTTGGGGAAACCAAAAACAAAGTGGACAATATCATACTATTATGGAGATTTGTGATTCCTAACATGGTAGCAGAGTCATATCCTTAACTTAGTCATGTCAGTAGAATCCTCAAATGTTGAACAAAGAAGTTGTGAACCTCGAAGGTGTAGTCAAAAGTTACTCAAGTGTCAAACAAATGGTGTACTTTGTTCAAGGGTTCTAGAGAAGGAGTCGAGTCTCGATTAAGGAGAGGTAGTTCGAGGGTTCCATAGACCTCAGGGGAGGCTCTATAGTGTACTTTGTTCGAGGGGAGGATTGTCAAGGACATGTTACGTGTCTGTATCATATGTTATCTATATCCATACTTCTTAGATCTCTAGAACCTTTTGAAATTATGAACTTACAGAAGGAAGATTTGGGGAGATGAACAAGGCTGGGATTGATCATTACAACAAGCTCATCAATTCTCTTCTCGAACGAGGTTTTTAATGTCCTCACAAGCTGAAAGACACTTAAAATCATCACTTACAGTTTATCTGTCCTTCCCATAAGTCATACAAACATCCATGTGTTCTGCTTTCAGGGATAGAACCATTTGTGACATTGACTCACTATGACATCCCTCAGGAACTTGAAGATAGATATGGAGCCTGGCTGAATCCCCAAGTCCAGTATGATACAAACTAGCAATACTCCATCAACTCCACTCCAGTTTTGAACACATTTTGCCCATCAGTCCTGCAGAAACTGAACAAAGAACTTCACATATTCATATTTTCAGGGAGGACTTCAGATATTATGCTGATATCTGCTTTAAATCATTTGGAGATCGAGTCAAGTACTGGGTCACCTTCAACGAGCCAAATGTTCAGGTTATTCGTGGCTACAGGAAAGGGACATTTCCTCCGTCACGCTGTTCGAGCTCATTTGGCAAATGCAAGCATGGAGACTCAGCAAGAGAACCCTTAGTAGCTGCTCACAACATTATTCTATCACATGCTGCTGCTGTCAACACTTACAGGTCTAAATACCAGGTAATCAGTTTAACAAGATACCGTCTGGTCTCTTAAGCTCTGAGAGAATCTGTCAAATTAGATTGATCTTGTTTGCAGGCCAAACAAGGAGGTGTTATAGGAGTAGTTATCAATGCTGTGTGGCACGAGCCGATAAGCGACTCATTCGAAGACATATCAGCAGCTGAGAGAGCTCACTCTTTTTATATGAATTGGTAACACTCAAGGCTCACAATCAACATCATTCCATTGGCCCTGCTAAATATACATCACTAAACTACAATGTTTAAAACTCAAATGCAGGTTCCTAGACCCAATTATATTTGGGTACTATCCAGCAGAAATGGAGGAAATTCTAGGATTTGATTTGCCTCGCTTTTCAACAGAAGATCAAAAGAAGCTGAAAAATGGAGCAGATTTCATTGGCATCAATCACTATACAAGCTTCTATGTAAAAGACTGCCTATATTCGGCCTGTGAACCGAAATGGGGGTCGTCTAAGATCGAAGGTTTTGCTCTCTGTACACCAATGAAGGAAGAAACCTCAATAGGAGAACCTGTGAGTTATTTCGAAATGTTCTTGCCTCCATCAACCAGCATTGATATCAGGCAAAATAACTAGAATGTTTTTCGTATTCGTGTAGACTGAAATTTCTTGGATATACGTCTATCCTCAAGGAATGAACAAAATTGTTACGTACATAAAGGAGAGATACAACAACATACCAATATTTGTGACAGAAAATGGTAAGTGAAGGCAGGACAAAATTTTAAGTTTTGGCAATACATTTTTTCACATTTCCTCACAAACTATTGTGTTTTTCATGCAGGTTATGGGGAGAAGGATAAGCCCAATACAAAAACAGAAGATTTACTCAATGATACCAGAAGAGCAGATTATATGAGCAGTTACCTTGGTGCCTTGGAAACATCAATGAGGTATAAGCAATGCTACAATACTGTCAACATACTTCATCTACTTCTTTAATTTCTTCCATCCATATTCTCCCTTCATGTTGTTTCTCTTCATCCATCGCTCCCACCATAGTTTAGATATAGAAGAGGAGTAGCCCCGTATTGGCTAATTAAGAGGAAGATTCATGGGTTTCTAAGTAAAGAACACTATCTCCATTGGCAAGAGGCCTTTCGGAGAAACCAAAAGCAAAGCTATGAGAGCCTATGCTCAAAGTGGGCAATATCTACTATTGTGGAGATTCGTGATTCCTAACATGGTATTAGAGTCATACTCTTAACTTAGTCATGCCAATAGAATCCTCAAGTGTCGAATAAAGAAGTTGTGAGCCTCGAAGATGTGGTCAAAGATGACTCAAGTGTCGAATAAAGAGTGTACTTTGTTCGAGGGCCCCCAGAGAAGGAGTCAAGCCTTGATTAAAGGGAGGCTATTCGAGAGCTCCAAAGAAGGAGGTCTCAGGGGAGACTCTATGGTGTACTTTGTTCGAAGGGAGGATTGTTAAAGATTATTAAAAGGAGTAGTCCCACGTTGACTAATTAAGAGGAAGATCATGGGTTTATAAGTAAGGAACACTATCTCCATTAGCATGAGGCCTTTTGGGGAAACCAAAAGCAAAGTCATGAGAGCTTATGCTCAAAGTGGACAATATCATACCATTGTAGAGATTCGTGATTCCTAACAAAGTCATCCTTTAGAACGGAAGGACACAATTGTACAACCTAGACACAGTACAAACTCTGGTCCATGAAATCAGGAATCAGTGTCAAGAACATCTAAGACTGAGAAATCTATTCAAGGTTTTCTTAAGCTCATCTCAAATGGTCAAGGAATCTCTCCATGAACTTTCTCTACTCTTCTTCTTTGGTTCAAAATCTAATCATCCAGCTCAAAAAACATTATATCTTTCAAATAAATAGTAAACATAAAACTAGTTTCAGGAGAATGACTTCACTCGGGCAACTAACTACTTTGAGGAGGGGTAAATTAGTCGATAAATGGACATTTAAACCGATAATTTATATGAGGACCATAAGAAAGTGCCTTTAGCCAACAAAATACTGAATTTGCACCATGTCACACCATGATCGGGAACAGACAAGAGATCTAATGCTTCGAGGAGCACCACCTATAGACTATATACTTCTGAATTCATGCATATAACATCAAACTTGATTACAACCACTGAGAGTACAGAATGAAAAGCTTGAATTTAACTATATCCATTCAAGTGTCCAATAGAAAAGAAGAGTTTCACTTTGTGCACCCATGATTGAATTGAAGCTTGTCCGGATTGTATTTAATGTGGTGCTTGTTCAGGGAAGGAGCAGATGTGAGAGGATACTTCGCCTGGTCTTTGCTGGATAACTTCGAATGGATAAGTGGATATACTGAAAGGTTTGGGCTTTGCCATGTAGATTATGCCACTCTGAAGAGAACTCCAAAGTTTTCAGCCTTTTGGTACAAAAATTTCATTGCCCAAAATCTGATGGGCAACAATGTCAGTGCAGTTGCATCCAGGAAAGTGACCTAAGCAAGCAGAGCCCCATCAACTATATGAAAATTGCTTATGTAATTGCCCGTGCAAAACGGATTTGATTACCGAATGCTGTTAGTTTCATTCGTTAATCGTCTATAATGCTGGTTATAGATGGTAGCTTTGTAAGTAGAAGACTTCATTTCAGAGCAAATAAAAGAGTATCTTTCTCAACTCTTTTCTGTGTGTGCTGTGGATGATGGGAATAAACTTACAGATTTGGAGAATGTTGGCCAATGCAAAACGACGGCTTCGAGTCAATATCCAGCTATAATTGTTCCTGCTTCCACCAAGGAGTCCCAGCATTGTAAATGTGTTCCATCGAATCCCATGATATCTCATAAGCCTGAAGTCCAATAGCCATGGCTGGTTCTTTTCCATGCCTGGAAATCCACTCTGTCACTGCACTTTCTTTATCTTCTTCACTTGCATACTCTTTCTTACATTTTCCAAATGGATTCAACCCAGGATTAGCCATCTCTGCAACTGCTGCGGGCATGTACATGGAATCACCAACCAATGGTGCTCCACAGTTGGCCAGTTGTGCTCGAATCTGCATCGGGAAAGGTCAAATTTATTTTAAGAAATTTTTTCAAAGGTGCCCCAATGCTGAATGCAAGAATTTATGAAGATGGTTTACAAATAATAGAAGTAACTATAGCAACAGAATGACTAGCTAACAAAGAACCTGATGTGTCCGACCAGTCAAGAGGTTGATTTTGCATTCATATGCTTTCGTTTTGGAAGGCCACCCACATTCTTCAATACAGTATTTTGCTTCAATATCAGCATCCGGCCATGCAACCTCTCTGCATTCCAATACCTCAAGCTGACACAAGTTGTATCCATCAATACAATCTGCAAGCAGAAGATGTATCAAACCACCAAAGGATTAAACTGCCAATCACACCTTAGAGCTGGGGGCGACACTGCTGTAGATGTTGGGTTGGGAGGGAGTTTAAATGTTAATATGATTAGGACACTCATTTGCATATTGAATTCTTGGCAGAACACTAGACTCATTTTCTAATTGCTTGAGTTTATGCTACAAAATAATTATCAAGCGGGTATACGTATACGTATGTTCTTCAAGATATCAAAGTGCAACAAATTCTACAAAGAAATATTCTATTCTTATTCGAATGCTTGATCGAGAGACTTGCCTTCTGAAACAAGCCTTGGAGCAATATTAATTGGCCGCATATAGTGTGTTATTATTCCTATTGGCACTGGAGCAGCAGCAAGAGCAAGATAAAGCTTCTTAACCTTTTTCTCCTGTTAATCAAAAATTGTAAAGCATTCCTATCAAATTAAGAAATCAAACACGTTGAGACAAATAAAGTAACTTAACCGCTATGTTCAAACTCAAGAAATAAGTTCGTGAAACTCACCCTGATTTTACGATGGAAGACGGAGCAATATTCTTTTGTCCGTGCTAGAATGACGCTGTAAAAGTGTAAATGAATCAAAACAAGTATTCCCTATGGAGGCAATAGACATAAAAATATCTATAAGCAACATCATTACCAGCCTTCAGTACAGTTGTCAATCTGATGGGTCGTCCACAACGGAGATGTTAATCCTAAAGCACGAGTTGCAAAGGTTGCACAACTTTCTTCAATGTTGTCAGTAGTGCCTCCAACCTGACAGGATATTTGTCATGCTTAGCTAAAAATTAATGTTCTGCCAAATGGAATTGATGTAAATAAATTGTGCCATACTCTACAAAGTTTCACTTAGATCAGAGGTGCCATGTTGAAAGTTCTATAAACTTATCCATATCACCAAACTACCTACACCAATCTTGATCAAATCTTGAAGAATGTTACAATAAGAAATAATGCAAGAACAGTCATCACAAATAGAAGGCAATAATTCTTGATTAATGGTTCGAGCATTCAACCACAGACCGATGTACCAGCAGGTTTGTCCAAAACCACATAGGACTCTGTCACAGCAATAATTCTTGATTTCCAGTCAATTTCATAGCACCTGATTGATTGTAAAGTTCAACTAGCATTATTCCATTATGAACATCATTTTGTTTCTTAAAAGAAAAACAGGCAGTTCATGTCACCTTGGAAAGCGTTTGGGATGCACATGAATACGCAAGTATGTTCCAACCTCCACAAACTCGTCAATGCGAGTTATCCGGAATGTCTTCTGTGCTTCCCTCACTGTTTTCCCTTTGATAGATTTTCGCCCTTTCAAAAATGATGGTTGTGTAAACTTTTTGAATAGTCTAATTTGCTCGGGGGTTGCCGTTGGCGGAGGCTGGGGGCATACTAAGGCATAATATACCGCACCAAAATGAATGAGGTCTGCAACATACCTTCAAAAACCAAAACTATTAGTTCATTAATTCATCTTAATTTGATTTCAATTTTATGTTGTAGCATCAATTGTTATGAACAACTAAAATATAGTACAACTTACAGAGGAGGAAGATCCAAGGATTTAGAGATGTACTCCATAACAGGCCCCCCTTCCAAAACAACCAGATGTTCAACTCGTGGCGGTCCACTGAATGAGGGGCATGGAAGCAAACGATGATATTGGGGATACCTGAAATTAAGTTAATCCTGAGCATGCTAAATACTAAAGGAATCACAGAAAAGGAATTCAATCCCAGAAATTGGGAGATTAAAAAATCCAATAACAAATCAAGATTACAGCAAGTTCATTGAGCATATAAGAGAGTAATCAGCAAAGGTGCCTGGAAACAGTATATCTTTCCTTTATCTGACAGCATGAAGCAAAGTTGAAGTTTGGAGCTACTAAGTAAGTCAGTTTTGACCACAAGTTTCCAGTGCCAGCCAGTGGAGATAGGCTCAATGCTCGTTATTCATAGTCCATATATATTGTCAAAAACCACGAATCTCCACAATGAAATCATATTGCCCACTTTGAGCATAAGCTCTCGTGGTTTTGCTTTTGGTTTCCCTAAAAAACCTCATACCAATAGAGATGTATTTCTTACTTATAAACCTATGATCGTTCTCTTAATTAGCCAATGTGGGACTCCCTCCCAACAATCCTTAACAATCCTCTCCTTGAACAAAGTACATCATAGAGCCTCCCTTGAGACCTATAGAGCCCTCGAACAACCCGCCTTTAATTGAGGCTCAACTCCTTTCTCTGGAGCCCTCGAACAAAGTACACCCTTTGTTCGACACTTGAGTCACTTTTTTTACTACACATTCGAGGCTCACAACTTCTTTGTCCGACATTTGAGAATTCTATCGACATAACTAAGTTAAGGGCATGACTTTGATATCATGTTAGCCACCACGAATCTCCATAATGGTACGATATTGTCCACTTTGAGCATAAGCTCTCATGGTTTTGCTTTTGGTTTCCCCAAAAGGCCTCATACCCATAGAGATGTATTCTTTACTTACAAACCCATGATCGACCTCTTAATTAGCCAATATGGGACTCCCTCCCAACAATCCTCAACATGTACTACATATGGTTCGAGCCATCAGCCACGGACTTTCTTTAAACTCAAAAAATCTTCCATTTTAATTTCCATTCTGCAACTTTCGCCACAAGACAAGCAATACCCAAATCAACGAGTTACATAAACTACAAACTTCCCCCACAGCCATTAAAATAAACATTCAAACAATTGAATTTGGCAAGGAAGGAAGAATTACATAAACCAACGAAGACTCGTAATGTCACATTTATATGATTTCCTCAGTTCACCGATGAGTAAACAAAGTGAAAACACAACTAAACAACAGTCCTCCCATTCAAACTATCCATCCAACAAATAAACAAGAAGCTGCAGAAAAACAAATTCAGCGTTACCCATTCTCAGCAAAAGTAGTAGTAGATTGTGTAACTGCAACATCTGTAACAGAGGATTCGCAAGGGAATGCGCTGCTCTTCGAACTCAGAGAACGCCGAGCAGCAAAGTAATTGCCGCAAGCAGTAGCACTGAAATTAGCACGAGTTCTTGCCAAAGTGCGCTGCAGGGCTAGTGACGTACCGAGGCCACGGCAACCGTTGGCGGCCACCAGAGCTATGTTCATGGAAGCCAGCATCCTTCGGAGGTTTGGGAGCTGGAATGGGCCGGCGAGAGCAAGATTATGCTTGTTATCCTCCGTTCCCGGATAGGATAATTTCGGTCTCTCACAACTTTACCATAAATTAATAACTTGATTAATAAAAATAACTCAACAAATAATTTTAAAATAATTGTTTTAAAATACTCTTCAAAAAAAATCAAAATACCATTAAAACTTTTTTTTAATTATTTTTATGGTTATAATGAAAATAGTAACAAATTATTTAGTTTATAAATAATATTTCTCTTCTTCTTTTTTTTTTCTCTTGTGAAATATTATTTTAATTCACTTTTTTTTTTGTTTATTAATCTTTATAAAAAAAATAAATTTTTTTTCTTTTTAAATATCAAAAATGTAAATAAAAATTTCGGACTATTTTCAAATTTTGACATTTTAATATTTGATTCTTTTTCAATTTAAAAATAAATTTAAATAAGAAAATTTCATTCTTGTAATTCATTATTTGATGGCATTCCTATTTAAAATACAATAAAATTTTCGTAACATATAGATTTATTTTATTGCAAAGGTTAGAAAATCAAATTATTTGACCTATATAGTATATTGTATATATTGCAATCATACAATTGTACCTTAAAACTATATATATATATATATATATATATATATATATATATATATTCTTTTTTTTTTTTTTTTTTTTTTACCTTCTTTTTTTATGAAACAAATAAAAAAAAGTCAAATAATTGATATAAATGTAAATTTTCAACTCTTATTATAAAACTATATATATATATATATATATATATATATTCTTTTTTTTTTTTTTTTTTTTTTACCTTCTTTTTTTATGAAACAAATAAAAAAAAGTCAAATAATTGATATAAATGTAAATTTTCAACTCTTATTATAAAACTATATATATATATATATATATATATATATTCTTTTTTTTTTTTTTTTTTTTTTACCTTCTTTTTTTATGAAACAAATAAAAAAAAGTCAAATAATTGATATAAATGTAAATTTTCAACTCTTATTATAAAACTATATATATATATATATATATATATATATTCTTTTTTTTTTTTTTTTTTTTTTACCTTCTTTTTTTATGAAACAAATAAAAAAAAGTCA